TCCTGAAGAGGTTTAGGATGAGAATCCAAAGGATCCTCTCTACTGTAATTGCTCCTCATGCTCCTGAAACACATACACCCTCCAAGTGGTGTCAGGTTTCAGAGACCCTGAAAGGAAGCTAGAGAACATCAAGGAAAGGTCATAGCCAAGCTACAGGTGCAAAGTTAAAGACTCAGGAAAACCATCTTAGATGTATCACTGTTGTAAGTCAACTTGCTCCAGTGTAAACGCAAACATTGCCAGAGAGCTACCACCTTACCCAAGACCGGAGAAGAAGGGCAAGAACTAGAGATACGGGCCACAAAAAAAAAAACAAACTTGTTGTAGTCAAGTCGATTCTGACTCATAGCAGCCCTACAGGACAGAGTAGAACTGCCCCTGGGGTTTCTAAAGAGCAGCTGACGGATTCAAACTGCCAATCTTTTGGTTAGCAGACAAGCTCTTAACCACTATGCACCAAGGCTCCAAGAGATATGGAAGGTTAGCTAAAACCTAGTTCACAATTACGCCTAAGCCAGTTTACAGGTCCAGATGAGGGACAAGCAGGTGGGACTAGAGAGAAGTGAGGGAGATATCTGCCTTGGATACAAAAATTAAGGTGATGCCAAAAACTCAATAGTCAGAATAAATAATACTTCAATGCAGTATTTTTAAAAATCAAAATTAATGAAAATGTCAATTCTACCCAAAGCAATCTACAGATACAATGCAATCCTGATCCAGACTCCACGGGCATTTTTAATGAGATGGAGAAACAAATCACCAACATCATATGGAAAGGGAAGAGCCCCTGAATAAGTAAAGCATTACTCAAGAAGAACAAAGTGGGAGGCCTCACACTACCTGATCTAGAACCTGTTATACCGCCACAGTAGTCAAAACAGCCTGGTACTGGTACAACAACAGATACATAGACCAATGGAACATAATTGAGAATCCAGACATAAATTCACCTACCTGTGAGCAGCTGATACTTGACAAAGGCCCAAAGTCCATTAATTCGGGAAAAGACAGTCTCTTTAACACATGGTGCTGGCATAACTGGATATCCATCTGCAAAAAACTGAAACAAGACCTGTACCTCACACCGTGCATAAAAACTAACTCAAAATGGATAATGGATCAAAGACTTAAATATAAAATCAAAAACAATAAAGATCATGGAAGAAAAAAAAGGGACAATGCTAGAAGCCCTAATACATGGCATAAA